CCACACCTTCGCTCGCGTTTTTTTGTGCCTTCGTTCTTCAGACGCAGGACATGGCCCTGCTGTGCGTGGGGAGAGGGATCCGACCAAGGATCGGTATAAGGAGGAAGGTCGGCCTCCTCCTGTTCCTCCTCCTCCCCCTCCTCTTCCTCCTCCCCCTCCTCCTCCTCCTCCTCCTCCTCCTCCTCCTCCTCCTCATCATCATCGTCATCCTCCTCATCTCCCCCTCCTCCTCCGCCCACTCCTCCTCTTCCTCCTCCTCCTGCTCCTCCTCCTCCTTGCCTTCCTCCTCCTCCTCCTCCTCCTCCTCCGCCTCCTCCTCCTCCTCCTCCTCCTCCTCCTCCTCCCCGTGGAGGAGGAGGAGGGGGATTGCTGCCTGTGGTGCTGCCCTCGCTGCAGCACTTATAAGCCGTCATTCAGCGACGCGCAGAGGCCGCCCGTGTTCGTCCTACGCCCGATCGCTACGTTATTTGCTGTGCTTTATTCATGTGGAGGAGGAAGAAAAAGGAGGAACGGTCGAGGAGGAACGCGCCTTCGATTAGCAAGGCAAAATATATGTTTCACCATGGCAACATGTTATCAACATGTTGTTGTGCACCCGCCCTGTTTCCCCTTCTTCTTCCTTACCCTCGACATATCCCTCCTCCTCCTCCTCCTTCTACAGGGCGAAGCCTTCGTTCTTTATTGAGACGAAGGACATGGCACTGCTGCCATGCGACGTATTGCGTCGCCGCACTTTGACGGAACTGGCCGCGCCTTGATCAGGAAAACCCAAAAGGAACCCCGAAACAGGCCCAACAAGGGGGCCTGGAGGAGGAAAACAAACAGAGGAGGAGAAAAGGAGGAGGAGGATGGAGGAGGAGGCACGAGGTTCATGTTTCACTGTGTTTCACCATGGCAACAACATCGATCTGAGTTGCTGTGTTCCCGCCTTCGGGCGGAGCGTCGTCCCTGGAGGTCGGCCACAGGGCGGTCTGCTGTGCGATCGTGCCGCCGTACGTACGTCGCCGAAGTTGTTGTGAAACAAAAGAAGGAACCCCCAAATGGAACCCCAGCGGGCCCAGACCCCAAACCCTAAGGCAAAAGGAACCCCAAACGGCCTACGCCCAAGTACAAGACAGGGAGGCCCACGCCCAAAGAGGCCCAGACCCAAAGGGGGGCCCAACAAGCTAAAAGGCAAAAAACTACCCTTTCCTGCTGCTGCTGCTGCTACGGCTGGACCCTATCTAAAGGCTCGCGCCTCGACCGTCGCCGCGCATTCATTGCATGGCGTTGCGCTGCTAGGTTGCATTGCATTCCGTTGTTCGCCATGAACAAAACAGGTGCAAACCACACCATGCTTATACATATGATAACATGCGTGTAACACTTCAACATATCATGTTGCAACTCAACAATGTGGGTGTCCTAATTTTTTCCGCACGGCGCGATTATCATAGCCAGGCTCGATTCATAATCGATGCTCGTTTCATGGTCGTGATTTTTTCGATGCTCTAAGATGTGTGGGGCACTGGCGCAGCGCGGGGACCAGAAGGCCTCAACGAGGCCATTGGGAAGTTCGTAGGTTTGTTTGAGGAGGGGCACATCCCGGCCCGCGGGATTCCAGAGTACCAGCAGGCCAAGTATCGAGGACGAGGCAAGGGTTGGAAGTACAATCGCGCCCCAGGTCTGCCGCCGAGCCCTGGACCGCGCCCCGCGGCCAGCCAGGAAGCCACGTGCTGGGGGCGCGTCACCGACTGTTTGCGCGAATTCGGGCGCGTCCAGGCCCGGGGCTCGCGCGGGCAGTTTAGGATTCGCGCCTCGCTCCTGGCTAAGGTCTGCCAGGGGCCTAAGGCGTTGCATAGCGCTTCCCCCCGGCTCATCCCAGCGCGCTCCGTCGCCGAGCCGAGCGCGGTGACCCCCGCAGGTCTGCGCGACTTGTCGAAGATGGCCGGCAGGCGCTCTGAGTCGCACGGGTGGGGGTCCACCCGCAGACGGTCGGCTGAGCGGAGAGAGTTCGTCGAGGGAGCCGTCGCGAGCGGCGGCAGCAAGGCGCGCAGATGTAATTGCTCGTATTCCTGTTAGGTGGCGCCCCGCCCATCCGATGCGCGGAGAGAATCCCCCCAGGTCCCGAGGCTGAACTCAACCAGGTCACGGAGGATTGGGAGGGGGTCTGGAAGTGCCCGAACGAGGGTGAGGACCACGAGGAATGCATGCAGGAGCTGAAAAGACTCCAGGAGGCCCACGAGATTCCCGAGGTCCGTTATGACCCTGATCGTATACGCCAGGTTGCGAGCGGAGTCTGGACGCCACGTGGGATTGATCGCCTTGTTCCAGGGGACTTCACGGTGTTGGAGTATCAATGTCTTGAGGGGCTCGCGTTCCTGTTGGGATGGATGTTGGCCCGATGTTTCTTTCCGTCGCAATTCAGTTTGACCCCGGCGCCCTCCCTGCCCAAACCCGAGGGAGGCGCGCGGCTAACTGGGCTGCTGAGCATGCCGGTGCGCCTCTGGGCTCGCTATCCCCGCGATGCGAGTCGCGCGTGGGAGCCCACGCACCAACGCGCACATTCTCACGGTTCGCGCGGCAGGCCTTGCAAGAGAGAGCGGTATGGGAGCAGTCTTTCGGCAGCGAGCTGGCGGTTGTGTCCAACGCGCATGCTGCGAACACCTTTGTCGACCTCAGAGAGATCGCGTTCTGTGGTCGCTTAGAGGGGGGGGGTGCAGACTGGCCCCCCCAGCCCCGCCCCTCCCTCCCCTGCCCCCTCTCTCCTCGGGCCGGCGCGTGCGTCGGCGGCGGCTGGCGGCGGCGGCGGGGGCGGCGATTTCTTTTTCTAGGCCGGCGCCGGCGACTGCGGCGGCGGGCGGCGGCGGCGGGGAGCGTCGACGAGGGCGACAGTGGTGGTGGTGGTGAGTTGTGGTGGCGGCGGTGGCGGTGGTGGTGGTTGCGGTGGTGATGGTGGTGGTTTGTTGTGGCGGTGCTGCTGGTGGTAGTGGGTGGTGGCGGTGGTGGTGGCGGTGGTTTGGTGGTGGTGGTGTGGTGCTGGTTTTCGGTGGTGGACGTGGTGGGTTGTGGTGCTGGTGGTGGTGGTGGTTTGGTGGTGGTGTTGTGGTGGTTTGCGGTGGTGGCGGTGGGTTGTGGTGGTGACGGTGATTTGTGGACGTGGTGCTGGTGGTGGTGGTGGCGGTGGTGGTGGTGGTGAATTGGTGGTTTGGTGGTGGTGGGTTGTGCTTCTGGTAGTGGTGCTTGTTGCGGCGGTGGTGGTGGTGGCGGCGGTGGCGGGTTGTGGTGGTGGTGGTAGTGGTGGTGTGTTTTTGTTGTGGTGGTGGTGGTGGTGGTGGTGATGGTGAGTCGGTGGTGGTGGTGGTGTTTGTGGTGGCTGTGGTGGTGGTGTGGTGGTGGTTTGTGGTGGTGGTGGTGGTTGGTTGTGGTGGTGGCGGTGGTTCGTGGAGGTGGTGGTGGTGGTGATGGTGGTGGCGGTGAGCGGTGGTGCTGGTGGTGTGGTGGTTTGTGGTGGTGGCGGTGGGTTGTGCTGGTGGTGGTGGTGGGTGGTTGTGGTGGTGGCGGTGGTGATGTGGTTGATTGGTGGTGGAAGTGTTGGTGTTTTTTTGGTGGTGTTGGTGGTGGCGGTGGTTGTGATGGTAAGTTGTGGTGGTGGTGGTGTTGGTGGTGGTGGTGGCTGTGGTCGTGGTGGTGGTGGTTGCGCGGTGGGTTGGCGGTGGCGGTGGTGGTGGTGGTGGTGGGTTGAGGCGGTGGTGGTGGTAGTGGTGGCGGTGGTGGTAGCGGTGGTGATCGTCGCTGCGCCCCCGCCGTCGCCAGCGCCAGCGCTGGCGCTGCTGGCCGCCGCCAGTGCCAGCGCCGGCGCGAGGGGGGGGGTCCAAGCCCCCCCCCGCGCGCTTGGCGGGGGGGGGGTTCAACCCCTCCCCCGCCCCTCCCCCCTTGGGCTGCCTCTGGTCATCGTCGCTGCGCCCCCGCCGTCGGCGCCGCTGGCGGCCGCCGACGCCAGCTCCGGCGCCGAAAGGGGGGGGGGTGGGGGGTAGGGGGGCCCCTATGGTTTCGATCGACGGCGCCGAGCGTTGGGGGGGCCCGCGCCCTGGTTCGAAACGCGCCGCCGAATGTTCCCAATGCAAGCGCCCGTGAAACGCGTTCTCTCCGACCTCGCGGAGGCGCGCGCGCAGGCGCGACATCGTGATCTGATTGCAGCAGCACGCAAGCATGGGCTTCCGCTCTCCTACCTTCGGCTATGCTTGAAGACATGCCATGCTCCGCGATGCCTGTTGCTCTGAAAACGCGCGTCTGCTCCCGCTTGCATCCTCGGCGTGATCGTGGCGGGATGCGGTTTTGCGACGACACTACAGTATGTCATGTTGCTGGGCGTTCTGGATTATCGCATGCAGTGGTTTTGCCACGCGCGCTTCTTCAATGCGGTCGATGATATCACTGCGTTCGAACGATCATGTTTGGTTCTGCAATGGTTGTTGGCGAGGAGGCGCTGGTGGCCACGCTAGCGCTGCGTCGCATGCTCGAGGATTGACGGCTCGTCGTGTCTCGTGCAAAAGGAAAGGTCGCTGCCGCGACTTCTGAGCTTGCTACCAAGAATGCTGCCCGCTTGAAAAGCTGGGAATTCCGTTCCACATATCATGCCAATAATCTCGGGACGGGTTGCGCGCAGCGAGGCCCGCGACGCGTCGCTGTCGTCTCTGGTAGACTGACTTGAGTGATGGCCCGAGTTGGCCGTTTCCGTTCCTTTAAATTCAAATTTTGCAGGTTCACGACAGCCTCGAAGGCGGGGGCCCGCGCGTGGAGTCAGTGCATGAGGTCTCTCGGGCAGGCTTCTTTCTCGGCTTCGTGGGGCCATCGCCGCGAGGTTCTCTGGGCCAGCCAGAGGCCTCCCCCGCGCTATTCAGTTCTGGCCCTCGCCAGGGCCCGACGCCGACCTTGCCTTCGCCAGTCATTCCTTGCCTCTAATGTCTCGGGGCAGTGCCTCTGGGGGGGGGGGGGGGCGCCGCGGGGGCGTCTTTCAGGCCATGTTAGAGCTCCGACAGCAAGGCAACTTTGGCTGGTCCGCGGTCAAAGGTCCGACGGGAGCTGCGATAATGACCCTCGATCGGTTTGGGTGGACTCCCGAGAGCTATCGCGCCCGGCGCCTGCAGTCTGGTTTGGCGGTCGATCTCGAAGCGGTCCGCAGGGTTTCGTTGAAGCAGTTCGCTTGCGATGACCTCCGCCGACAGGGCAAGGGCCTCCAGGCCAGTCTTCTTGCCGCCCATGTTGCAGGTGGCCTAGTGGCCCAGTTCGCGCTGCGCCGGGATCGTCGCGCGCTTGATGTGCGATGCCAGCTCTGCCTAGGGGGGCGAGGCACGTCGCGCCGCAGGTTTGTCGTTTGCGAAGGCCTAGCAGGCGGGCGGGCGCGTTCAGAGCGCGATGGGAAAGTCAGGAGTTGGAGGCGAGGCGACGACGACGACCCTTTCCTCGCGAGGTGCATCCTTCTCTCCCCCGCCAGGTTCACGCCGAGCCCCCGGCGCCCCCAGGCGCCATCCAGCGGCGAGTTCGCCCGCGCGACGGGCCCCTTCAAGGCTGCCTCTGCGCGGATGGATCTGCTCTTTATCCCGCCCTGCCAGTTTTCGCCGTTGCTGCTTGGGCGGCGGCGATGATGGGCGCGGGGGCAGGTCCCAGCAAGTGTTTGTGGCCCTCTGCTTCGTGCTCTCCACTCCGCGTGCGGGGCAGAGGTGCACGCAGTTCTGGTGGCGTTGAGATTTTCGGGGCCCAGCGACGTCGAATTGGGTTGCGATTGTCAGCCGGTCGTGAAATATTAGGACCGAGGCTTGGACAGCGATGTCTCTTACTTTCGCGTGCCGGGCTTGTTGGGGACATGTTGTGTCGACGCGGAGACCGCAGGGGGCCCTTTAAGGCGTCGCATGTCCCTGCCCACAAGTCCTGGCCACAATCGCTCCAGTTGGGCGTGTCGTTCTTGGCTTGGAAAGGGAACCGCGCTGCTGATGGGGCCGCCATGGGAGCGGCAAAAACGGCCCCAACTCCCGATGGTCCCCGCGAGTGCTTCGAGCAGCAGAGAGAGCGTTTGCAAGTCCTTGGCAGACATGCCGCGGCCATGCTCGAGGTCGCTGGACGCCCTGTCTTTCGAGATGATGCGAAGGTAACGTCCAGGGCGCAGCGCCCGCCAGGGGCCCGGATTATTCTCTGCCCAGACCCTAGTGGTCACGTTGGGAAGAAGGGGAAAGGATGGCTTTGCGCGCGTTGCCTTGGTCGCGGGTGCAGCTGGGCCCACCTCGCCAGCAATCGCTGTTTGGGCCTCCCGCGGATATGTCGGCAGTCTCGCGCGTCCCATCGCCTGCGGGGCGGCGATGCTAGAGCCCCCCCCCCCCCCCCCACCCGAATGTTTGGTGCTCCAAGTTCGTTTTTTTCGCTCGGCGTCGGGCGCAGCGGATCGTTGCCCCGGCAGGATTCGCGGCGACGCCGCCGCCCGTTCGCTCGAGATGCCGGGGCAGGGACTCGACCCGAACACCAATGCCTCCTTTGGGCGAAGTGTTCGTCTCTAGCGAGAGAGGATGGCTGCGCGCTCAGGTTGGGTGTTTATTTATGTATACACACACGTTTGCGTGGTTCCCAGTCAAGGCTCTGCTTTGCCTGGGCGAAGCGGATGCGTGGCCGAACTAGGGCTGGACTTGGAACAGGAGGAGGAGGAGGAGGAAGAGGAGGCTTGGGACAGAGTTGCGCTGGCACTCTGGGAGGTGAGTTCCCCCTCCGGCTTCACCTGGCGCACCCGGGACACCCGGAGCACCCGGAGCACCCGGAGCACCCGGATCACCCGGAGCCCCCGGAGCATGCAGGGCACCCAGAACACCCAGGCCGCCCGGAGCACCCGGGGCACCCGGAGCGCCCAGGCCACCCGGCGCACTCGGCGCACCCGGAACGCCCAGGGCCCCCGGAACCCCCGGGCAGCGCGGGCCACTGGCACGAGCAGTACGCGCGGAGCACCCAGAGCACCCGGGGCACCTGGAGAACCCAGGACGTCTCGAGTGTCGAGGAAGAAGAGGAGGAGGATCGGATGAGGACGAGGGGAGCTGGATAGGAAGAGGAGGAGGAGGAGAAGGAGGAGGAGGAGGAAGGAGGAGGAAGAGGAGGAAGAGGAACAGGAGGATAGGATGAGGAATGGGTGGAGGGGGATCGGATGAGGAATGGGTGGAGGGCGAGGGATGAGCTGAGGCGCCAGGATGAGGAATGAGGGGGCTCGGACCTGTATAAAGAGAAGAGGGAGAGATAGAGAGAGAGAGAGAGAGAGAGAGAGAGAGAGAGAGAGAGAGAGAGAGAGAGAGAGAGAGAGAGAGAGAGAGAGAGAGAGAGAGCGAGAGAGAGAGAGCGAGAGCGAGAGCGAGAGCGAGAGAGGAGAGAGAGAGAGAGAATAGAGGAGAAGAGAGGAAGAGAGAGAGGAGAAGAGAGAGAGTGAGAGAGAGAGAGAGAGAGAGAGAGAGAGAGAGAGAGAGAGAGAGAGAGAGAGAGAAGAGAGAAGAGAAGAGAAAAGAAAGAGAAAGAACAGAGATGAGAGAGAGAGAGGGAGAGGGAGAGAAAGAGAAAGAGGAAAAGAGAAAGAGAAAGAGAAAGAGAAAGAGAAAGAGAAAGAGAAAGAGAAAGATTAAGAGAAGAGAGAGAGAGAGAGAGAGAGAGAGAGAGAGAGAGAGAGAGAGAGAAAAAAAAAAAGAGAGAGCGAGAGCGAGAGAGAGGAACACAGATAGGGAAGAGTGGAGGCCTCCAGCAGTTGGGTGATGGCACGACTGAGGGGCAGGATGGGCATGCGAACGAGCAGAAGGCCCCTTTGGTCCGTCCTGCGTTCTCCAGGGGCCATCTTGGGCTGTCCTGCGGCCATCTTGGAGGCCTCTTTGGCTATTAATTTGAAGCCCTCTTGGGCCGTCGTAGGGCCAGATTGGAGCCCTTTTGGTCCGTCTTGAGCTGTTGACAACGAGAAAAGCAGAGCGTCTTTCGAACGCCTAAGGGAAGGGCGCGATTTTGACCTCGCCCCCCTCCTCTTCCTCCTTTTATTCCCCCTCCTCCTCATCTTCCTCCGCGCCCCCTCTATCTCTAATCTACCTCCTCCCACTCCTCCTCCCCCTCCTCCTCCTCCTCGCCCTCCCCCCCTCCTCCTCCCCCTCCAGCTGCCGCGGTTGCTCGAGCGGTTCAGATGGCAGCAGGCCAGACTTTTTTCGCGGCAACCACAGCTGGGGGCTTCCTCGCTTCCCGCCTCTGCGCGTGCGAGCCGTGGCTGGGGAGTGCGAAGGTGCTCGGCTGGAACCCTCAGAGCGCCCGTGGGGATCGGCTCGATGAGATTGTCTTGGCGCGCAGGTCGTTTGACTTTGTCTTGCTGGGGGGGGGGGGGGGGGGGGGCGCAGGCGTGCGAACGACATGCAGAAGAACCCCTTCAGCGCCGAGTCCAGGGGCATTTGGTCATCGAAAGTGAATTCAGTCCTGGATATTACACTAATAGTAGTACTGGTTGTGCAGTGATTTTTCATCGGGCCTATCGGCTTGGCGACCTGGTTCGAGCGTGGGCGAGCCCGAAAGGGGCGGGAGGACGGGCACTAGCAGTGAGAGTGAAGCGCAGCTGTCAAGATTTCTGCCTGGTGGTGCTCTACTTTCCGCCCCAGCCGAGGTGGGCAGCGGAGGTCCCCCACAACCTGGAGACGACGCGCAGTCTCGGCAAGTGGCTGGACGAGGTGCTGAGCAGCCTGCCCGTGCGCTGCTGCCCCATCGCGTTCACGGGTGCGAACGACGGCATCGGCCTCAGCCGTCAGTCCGCGAAGTGGCAGCACGTCGACGACGGGGTGGTGGCAGAGGAGGCAGCGACACGAGAAGCACGACGGCACGGAGCAGGTGAAACCCTTCGTATATAGGCGGCGAAGCACCACTTGCTGGCGGCGAATGCGAGATATGGAGTTTGCCCTACGTACTTCGGCACGAAGGGCGGGATCTCGATGATTGACTACGTGTTCTTCCCCTTCGGGATGGCGGGCGCTATTGAGCAGTGAAGGAGACAGTGAAGACGATGGGGCGCCTCGTGTTGGCGGATTCCCGCGAGATCCAAGAGCTGGCCGCTGTCGTGTTCAACAAGTTCGAAACGAAGAAGGGCGGCCTGTCCGAGCAGCAAGAGGCGACGGGCAAGGCGTACGACGCGCAGTCCACCGCCCTGCGCGAGAAGGCCAAAAACGGAGAGCAGGTCGACTACGAGAGCAGGGGGCCGCCGCACGTGGCGATCTTCGCAGCGTCGGTGAAGTGGTGGGGCACGCAGGACAACCCTGCCAAACAGGAGCTGACCGAGGGCTCTGCGAGCCTGTGGAAGGACGTGATCATGCGCTTCACTCCCCAGCAGGTGGCGGCCCTGGTACCTTACTTCCGTTGGAAGCCGCACAGGGGCAAGCCGAACAAGGGCAAGGACGAGAGCAACAGCGACGACATGCAGGAGGACGCGAAGGGCACCGACAAGGGGATGATCATGTGCGCGGTGGGGCTCTCTCACCTGAACGGCCCGAAGCTGTCGACGTTGCTGGCCGAGGCGATGGCGGACAGGAAGGCGATCCACAGGCCAGGCACAGCCCCTCCAGGTCCGTTGCACCGCCAGCTTTCGAGGATGATCAACGAGATTTGAGTGCTTCTTCGACGGCGGGCCCACGTTCATCTACATCGGGGAGTCAGGTCGACAATTGTGGAGATGCTGGGTATCGTGGGCCTGGCCAGAGCATCTTTTCAGTGAGGGACTCGGTTTCCGAGTCAGCGACGCCCGCGGCTCAGACTTGTTTTGCGAGTCCGACGGGGTTCGATTGGCGTCAGAGCGAGAGATTTAGGGCTTTACAGGCTGCTGGCCATCTCCCGCCGAGACCCCCTCCCCGTCCTCTCTCTGCCCCGACGTTGACTCCCCCTCGACGGGCGCCTCGTGGGCGCGGTAGGGGCTCCAGTGGGAAAGGTAGGTCTCAGCCCCCTCGGAGGCCCCCCTCGAGGCCGAATGCCTCTGGGCGGGGGGGTGCCTCCTCGCGGGGCGGTGCGTCAGGCGGCGGTGCCTGATCGAGGGGGGTGGGGGGGCTAGCAAGGTGGTTCTGGCCCTGGTGGCTCCACCGTGTTGGTCTCCTTCCCCCTTGATGTGGGTGCCAATGCCACGGCGTGTGCACGGCTCTCACTTTAAAAAACGGCGGGATTATGATTTCGCCCCTCAGAATCCAAGCTTTGCTGACTTTCTTTTGTTGCG